GTAAGTTGCATTCTTTAAGTATAATTGTGTATAGTTATTAATTTATTCCTGCATTCACTCAAGTAATATTTATTGATCATTAAAATGAAGAAAATATGTACAGGTTGCCATGGAAATTGAAATTGCAAGATTGTAAGAGATAATTTTTCTCCTCTGGATGCTTATTATAATGTGGAAATAGAAATAAGACAGGGACACATATAAACACAATATTAAGTAGTACAGAATATGTAAACTTAGATTTTAACACTGCCATAGATCATAAGTAAATTAACTTTTAGAAGGACAGATCGGGAAAGTTTTTTTTAGGAGATTTTGTATTTAAATTGAATCTAGAAAGATTGATGGGATTTCAAATGATATAAAGAAGGGAGAAATAAATACCTTTAGCCAGATCTCTGAAAAAGGATGTTTAGGACATGTTCACAGAAGGTCCATAATTCAAACCATAGATTGTAAAACTGGTCTTGATTTCAGAGGTATTAAAAAGTGGGGGGACATGTACAAATTAAAATATATTATTTGGTTAATTTGACTGAAATGTCAGATTGGCAGATTTCCAGAAGTTAGAATTAATAACTTTCCAGAAGTTAGAACTCAGTCATTCTATTGAATGTTTACATTGTTTACACAATGCCATATCCATACATATGCAGATCATCATAAAGAGAAGTTAGTAGAAGCCAGGTCATGGAAATCTTGAATGCCAAGGAAAACCTGAAATTCACCTATTTTAATTCTTGCAGAGAATTCCATATCTTTCTTCTCTTATCACAAGCTGTTAGAATTTAGAAAGAGACTAGATAAACTAGTTTTGAAAGAATATATTCTGGAGTCCTTCCTCAAATAACATCTTTAAAGTCATTGGTCCATTTTGCCACGCCCTGCCATTAGGAACTAGTTTTTTCCATAAAGAGAGAAACACTTCATGTGAGTTTACTCACTTGCTCAGGACTGTGCTAAACCCCAAGATGTCAGTGGTGAACAAGACACAGTCTCAGTCTCACATGCTCATGACTTGATTAATAGCATTCCTAGTGCCTCTCCCTCCTTCCTAGACATCACCAGTGTCAAATTTTGCTGGCCTATCAACCATTAAAAATATCCATCACCTCAGCATCACCTTCTGCTGCCTTGGCCTTGTTTCTCATTTGTGGTTATGATTTCCTGCTTGTTCTGCTGAACTCTGATTTCTTGAATTCCCCACACCCTTTCTTAACGCTAAGGTGACTTTGCACCACTTTACTTTTACTTAAAGCAGAATGACCTACAAAAAAATTTTAGTTTTTATAATCTCCATAATTATCTCTCCAAATAAAAAATATTGTTTTTTGGATTCCATTGAAGTTGAGGAGAACAACTGTCATGAAGATGAAACAAGTCCTACAGGAGCTTATTTTCAGTTTTGGGAAAACCATTGTTTCATGTGTTTTGGAATTTTCTATAGTTGTTTCAAAGGCAGGAGGTTAAAGTCAGGCCCTGTTACCCCATCTTGGAAAGAACGTATTCATTTTTGTGGTCATGTTTGCCTACATATACTTACTGCTGTGTGTTGGTTTCCACTTCTAACAGAAACTGTTTAGTTGTATTGAATGTTTACATTGTTTACGCAGTGCTGTATCTATACATATGCAGATCATCATAAAGAACGTTAATAAAAGGTGTATGTCACTGGCCACAGACTTACCACATTTCTAGTTGAGGCAAATCTTTTTTTTTTTTTTTTTTAAATTTTTTTTTAATTTTTTTTTTTTTATATAGAGGCATGTTTTCTTTCTTTCTTTCTTTATTTGTTTGTTTTTGTTTATACATGAACGGGGTACAGTCAGAAGCTCGGGAGGGTGAGAGAATTCACCAGAGCCAGAGCGGAGAGCAGAGCAGGCAGAAGGACCGAAGTACACTGCTGAGGGGAGCAGCAGGCGGCAGGAGAGGTCTGCGCGCCGTGTGGGACCCTCCTCCGGAGGCCAGGGAGCAGCCGGGGATCGAACCGGCGCCGCAGAGGCTGCGGGCAGCTTCGCAACCCAGCGCTCAACCGCTGCGCCACCGGGGAGGCCCTAGTTGAGGCAAATCTTAAGTGATCTCTAACCCTTTATAGAATTGCCCTCTTTAATATCCTTAGAAATAAAAATGTACTTTTGAGGGACATACTGTGCTTTTTAAGATATCCTGTTTCATGTTGGAAAACAAATACTTGTCAGAAAATATGCTTTACAATGGTCTAAAATGTCATTCTGTATCCATCGACTTTTTAGTTCTTACTGAATTGTGTCTAATCTAAATCTAGAGAAGCTTTTCTTTCCTACTCCTTTTAACCCTCATTGTGCATTACTGACTCAGTCCACAAATGCATGCTGTGTTAGGCTCCGAGCTTAGCTGGGGGCTGCAGAGGCGAGGAAAAGAAGGTGATGTCTGTGTTTCAGTTTAGTGGTTGGAAGGGGTGTGGCGTTAGAAAGCAATCAAATAAGTAAGCCTACAAATATGAGTCAAATGACAGTACGTGTGCCACAAAGAAGCGAGGATTGATGACGCATGGAGAGGATGATTCGATCTGGTCAGGGAATTTAGGGAGGACATTCTTGAGGGTGTATGGAGTTGAGATCAGAAAGAAGAGTAGAAGATAATCAGATAGAAGGGGTGAGAGCCTCCAGGGAGAGGGAACAGCCCAGGTAAAGGCAGAGCAAAATGAGCAATTGGTGTCAATATCACAGTACTATCAAAAACATATTTCTGACGTGTTGGATGTTTTTGTAAGAAACAAACTTTATTTCAGTGTAAAGAAAGTAATTGAGATTGCCCTTAGGAGAGGTAACATCCCTACCTCAGGATTTTGTGGGGCCTGGAGTATGTACATCCTAGGGGTATTTTTTCAGATGATAGAAAATTAAGACCCTTGTTAGGGTAAGGCCCAGACACGTATACTTTCTTCAACTCAGGGTAAATAAATTTGCCGCCTGCCTTGAGGGTTGAAAGGGTGCATGATGATTTATTGGTCATGTTATCAAAGGAGTTCATATTGTATAGAACTCAGACTTGATTAGCCTCTAAGCTTCCTCTAAATACTAAGATTTAAGTTTACTTGGCTTATGTTTGAGAATTAAATAGGTCAAAGTTTGATTGCCTGTAATCTTTAACCCCAAGCTGATATATGGAATGGATTGCCTGATAGTGGAACAATGATGTTGTGTTAGGGACTGAGTGGGTTGGCAAAGGTGTGTCTGTGTGTCTTTCAGGTTCTAGATTAAAAGAATCAGAAAGCTTAGTTCTAACTTCAACCCCTAACCAATTATTTTGTTCTAGTACTCAAATCTCAAGCCATAGAATCTAAGCTGAAATGTCTTTTGAATCAAAATCTGGATTTGATTTCCATGTGTGTATTTGGAGAACAGGTCAGGGATGACCTAGAGATAACATCTCCCACCTTCCAATCTTACTAGGGTTCCCCGACCAAAGGAAGCAGGAGGAGAAGAGATGGATATTTTAGTGTGTGTTCATCATACCTGCTGTATACAGGGTCTGCGCCACTGTCAGGGGGAAGTAGAGGGCACTTCACAAATAATGAGTACCACTCCCATCCCCTAAAATGCATAGACACAAAAACAGAACCCTCAGAGTCCATTATACTCTGAATCATTGTATAAACCTGAAATAACACTAACAACAACAAAACAATAACAGCAGCACTATGACGGGTGCTTTTGCATTCCCAGAGTAGTTGTCAGGACAGATCATAAAGCTCTTAGCAAACTTTAATTAGAGCTCAGAGGTAGGTGAGTTACGTGGCTAAATTCCTGCCATTCTGGTCACCAGACAAGGAAAATCAAGGGAGGTTAAATGGTCAGCTTGTGGACACCTGGTCATGCTTGTCTGAGATTGCTTTTCCAGTCTGTCAGGTTTTTGGGAATCTGACTGCTGAGCAGCTCTGGCAGGCCCTATGCCCTTGCCTGCAGGTGCTCAGGTTTGGAGCTAAAGTGTTAATGAAGTCAGCCGGTTGCCCCAGGGCTCAGCTACCCCAAGTCTGGACCTGTTCACTTTTTTTTTTTGGACTAAGTCTACAAGACACAGGGATAACAGTCCTGGAGTCAGACAGATTCTATCTGAGCACTTGCCAGGCACGATGTGGAAACGAGGACAGTGCTTTTCAACTGGAGATAATTGCAAATAGTATTTATTTGCAAATCTGCAAATAACTCCAAGTTGATTTAAGTTTTTTCCACTTTAATATCTAGGAATAGTTTTAAAATAAGCATGTTTTTGCTATCTATATATTTTTAGAAAGTGCCACCACTTCTATGTATGCAGGGAAATTTCTGAGTTAATACGGGAATGAAAAATAAAATCCCTCTGAAGATATGTAAAGATGTAGAATTTCCCGGTCCTTTGTGCCCACTACCCCATTCAGACTTCTGGGGTGTATTTGTTTTGTTCCCCAAGAGGACAGAGCAGTTCTATCTTGGGCAAGGACTCTGGCCTCTATTACCCAACCACCCATACGTAGATACAGATCTGCTTGTTATCTGTATACTTGCTGTGTGTGTAAGTATGTGTGTGCGCACCAACAATTGAGAGACAGGCAAATATTGTCTTTTATTTAATAGGCAAAGAGTGATTGCCTTTTATTTATTCTGAAATGACATAATGGCTTTCATTATGTCTGATTCTTTTTGGGTTGAGAGACTAGTCCCTGCCCTCCCAGATTCTTATTCATAATTTCACACACTGTCACTCCATTCCTTCTCACACCTTTTCCCCTGGTTCTATCTGTTCTCATTTCTACATTTCTGCTTTCTCCTAATTTTCGTTCTTTCTCTTTTTTTTCTTTTCATGTCTTTCTTAAATTATTAATACCAGAATTTCGCCTACTCACCTATCTTTACTGTGGTTTTAGTTCAAGGATATATTAATGATTTACTTCTATGCTTTAAAAAAATGTTTTATGTATAAAAATTCCTTGTTTATGATTTTTGTTTGTTTCAATAACAAACTGAACTAACCCAGCTAATTAATGTATTTATTTAGGAAAGAGTTGACAATGCCTCCTGGTACTTTTCTTCCTTTTAACTGACAGGAACTCTCTTCCTGTAGGTGAGACATTCCTCATTATTCTTGCATATAAGGGAGCTCATTTCTCTTTCTGCTTGCAGTAGCCAGCCATCTCTTCCTTCTGCTCAGTGAAGCCACACTGCACTACATGGAAAGTTTCAATGTTAGCAAAGCTTTACCAACCATTTAAACAAAGAGTTTCCTGAGTCATGGACCCCCACTGTTGTCCTGCAGCACCATAGGCTGAGGGGCTAAAATTTATATCCTAACAATTCTGGGAGCTGCAAGTCCAAGGGCAGGGTGTCAGTAAAGTTGCTTTCTTTTGAGGCCTCCCTCCTCTCCCTGGGTCTTCACATGGTCTTCCCTCTGTGGGAGTCTGTGACCTAATCTCTTATTATAAACATGGTAGTCATGTTGCATTGGGGCCCAATCTAATGACTTCTTTTAATTTAATGATTCTTTAAAGACCCTAAGTCTTTAAAGGTACTGGGGGTTAGGACTTCAATATATAAATTCAGGGTGTGTGTGTGAGGTAGGGGTAGGGGTTGAGGACACATTTCAGTCCCTTACAACATGTTAACGATTCCTCATATAGACACCAGATTTCCAGCAACAACATAACTAGAAAACATTAAGTCAAACCTTTGGAGTCTGTGCAAATGGAGGTTATGGAGTCATGTTAGGGTCAGATGTCAAAGGCCCCTCTCTCACTTCACAGCTGTTCATAACCAATGTAAATAAGCTGCTGAACTGTTTTCCCCAACAACAGACCAGTGCAGAGTAACCACCTACCAGAAAAGAGCCATCCTTGAAGGCACAGATGTGCCAACCGCAGAAGGAAGTGACTGAAGCTCTGAGGGCAGCAGAAAAACCTTAAAAGGACAAAACTGTGTTGTCAAGTGCCATGCAGTGCAGTGAGAGCAGATAGCAACACTCCTGCCTTGTTCAGAGTTGGTGACTTAAAGATCTATAAAAACTCTCTGGCTGGGGAAGCATCTGCATTAAAGAGAGAGAGAGTTGTTTAGGCATTTGAAGGAAATGAGCTTCAGGTATTAGAGTCATTCACCTTTGCAAAATTAAAATTCCCCAGTTCTGCTGGGTAAATGCCTCTTTATGGATGACAGTTAAGGAAGTTCCTGCTTGGAATTCATGAAGATTTTGCTTTCATCCCAAACACAAGCATGTAAAAAAAAGAGCTCTGGAGTCAGCACTTTGTGTAAACCATGGGCCCAGGTTTAGACTTAACCTTCAAATGAGTCTTAACAAGCAGTCACTGAGATTCACCAACAGTCTTCAAAGATGTTCATCAGACAATTTTTAATTTCCACTATCTCCCCTGTAGTGTGCAGTGAATTGATTTATTTTTAACTTCTATAATGGTTTTATGAATAGAGCAATTGTATGGCATTGTATTCTGTGTGCACAAATTGTACTTAGAGGAAGCATTTAAATTATACCACTATTTTCACAACCCTATTTTGACATTTCTTCATGTTTTTAGTACATCAGGAACAGCAAAAATGGGAGGGACCCAGGCATGTCCCTGCGCTGGCCCATGCTGTGTGCTCAGCCTCGCCTTCCTTGAATCGTCTCCACCAGCTGTACGTGTCTCTGACCACCTCTGTCTCCTATCGGTTATCTATAAATTTGTTTTATCTGTCTTACAAGATTATGAGCTTAGTTCTCAATGCTGTCCTCCTCCCCCCAGCATGGTAAATGTACCTAGTTTTTGTTTTCTGCTTGTTAAACCTTTTGTTCAAGCCTTTTGTAGTATTTGTTGCAGTAGATGACTTCCAAGGTAACCCTCAGAACTCTGCCTTATGCCCAAAGGAACACCCATAAGAGTGCTTTGCTGGAGAATTTGCACAGCTGACCTCGGTGGTGTGCTGGTAGATGTTTAACAACCAAGTCTGAGGTGGACGGTGAGGAAAAGATCTGGTTCCTTGTATTTGCTGGTTTTGGACATCACTGATTGTTGGGTCTCATGGTACACACACAATTGACTTCTGCTGGCCCAATCTTTAGAAGGTTCTAGCACATTTCTGGCTCACACATGAGGGCTTTGATAAATGCTGTTCTGTAAGGAACAGAGAAGCCCTTCTTCATCTGCATAAGGCAAACCTCTACTACGTATTCACAACCCTGTTTCACTTTCCACATCTGCCTCCTCGAAACTTTCCCCAAATAAATTCAGAAGATCATGACAAATCCTAAAATAGCCTAAAAGTCATGGGCAAGGAGTCCTAAAATGGAACTACTCAGAAGTTCCTGAAAGGGTTACTAATATAGGGCAGTTATAATTCAGCATTAGTGTATGCAGGCTGATTAGCCTCCAAATTATTTTTTTCAAACATTTGCTCAGCTTTCTACCCCTCTACATGGACACACACTCACTACATAGACACTTGGTGTCTTCAACTCAGCAATTTTTACCAAGAGAAACAATAACACTGTCCTCTCCTGTTCTTCCTCCTTCCCCCACTTCCACAGATCAGAGCAAGCAGATCTCTAGGATTTTCTCATCTTGCATGACTGAATTTTTATGTACCATTGAATAGCAGCACCCCATGTCCCCACTGTCAAGACCCTGGCAACCATCATTCTACTTTTGATTTCTCTGGATCTGACTGCTTTAAATAATTCAAATAAGTGGAGTCATGTATTATTTGTCCTTCTGTGACTGACTTATTTCATTACCATTATGTCTTCCGGGTTCATCCATTCTATAGGATATAACAGGATTTCCTTCTTTTTTAAGGCTGAACAATATTGCACTCTGTGTGTGTGTGTATATGTATCATATTTTTTAAAATCCACTCATCTGTTAAAAGACATTGAGGTTGTTTTCATTCTTGGTTACTGGGAATAATACTGCAGTGAACATGGAGTGCAGATATCTCTTTTAGATTCTCATTCCAATTCTTTTGGATATATGCCCAGACATGGGACTGCTGGATCATATAGTTATTCTATTTATAATCTTTTGAGCAACATCTACATTGTTTTCCAAAGCAGCTGCATCACTTTATATCCCACCAACAGGGTTCAAGGGTTCCCTTTTCTCCATATCTCACCAACAGTTTGCCTTTGTTTTCTTGGTAATTGCCATTCTAACAGGTGAGAGGTGATAGCTCATTGTGGTTTTGATTTGCATTTCCCTGAGGATTTGCATTTATCCTTCTATTGCTAGTGCCTGGCAATGGCTAGAACATAGCAGATGTTTAATAAATGTTTGTTGAATGAGTGAATTAAGTTTTAACTCATACCATCCTCTGTACAAGTTCAAATGAAGATTCAATGTGAGCTATGGGAGAAGGGTGTAGGGGGGGAGTGGTGTTTATTACACAAGAGCTAAAGGGGACTGGTGGGATTCCCTCTGGTCTTGTACTAGAAGGGAGTCAAGCATGAATGGAACCTGGGGACTTGGAGAGGCCTATCATGGTGGAAAGAGAGAATTTTTAGAAAGAGCAGAATTTAAGTATTTTATGCAATCTTAAAATAATTATCTTGGACCTCCCCTGGTGGCACAGCTGTTGAGCGCTGGGTTGTGAGGCTGCCCGCAGCCTCAGCAGCACCAGTTCCTGGCCACCGGCGAGGGTCCCACAAAAAAAATATATAGATATTTTAAATATTTGCATTTTCTGAATATTTGTTCTTGGCAGCTAAGCCCAGGAAATTTTTTCTCCAGTCCTTCCCAGTCTTCTTCTTAAGTATCTGCCTCTACAGTATCTACCTCTACAGAGATTTTTCCAAAATCTCTCATTTTTTCTAGCACAATTCTTGTTCAACAAATATTTGTGGTTCCCTTTTCCTTTGAATTCCCAAAGCTCTCTGCACTCTCCAACACAACGCACCCTACTTCACTTTCATCTTTTACATCAGCTCTTCTGCCCTCATCTAATCCTCCCCTCTGGATGGCAAATTCTGTGACAGCAGTCCCTCTTGTGTCCCCAACAGAAATTAACACTTTGGTAGGCACTAAACATCTGTATAATTGGATGGGATAATCAATTCATTTGAGCAGAATCAGATTACTTTCTTAGGCAAAGGAGACAACTATGAAGAAAAGACCTGTAGATCTCAAGTACTATTTTATTTTATTTTTAAACATTTATTTATTTATGCATACAAGAACTAGGGTACAGGCCAGAGGTGTGTGTGGGGAGGTGGTTGTGAGAGAATTCACCAGAGACAGAATGGGGACCAGAATAGGTAGATTGACTGAAATACACTGCTGAGAGGAGCAGGGGGTGAGACAGGAGAAGTCTGCTGTGCCATGTGGGTTGCTTCCTGGCCAGGGATCAAACTCTTGCTGCAGTGGCTGTGGATAGCCTCATAGGTTGCATTTTAACACCCTGAGCCACCAAGGAGTCCCTCAAGTACTATTTTAAAATAGTTCCTCTTCTAGAATCTGATGTCTCTACATAGGGATTGTAATTCAGTTCAAAAATAGACAAATCAGACAATTTTTCCCTTAAAAAACCTTTGTCAACTTGATAAAAAACATTTTCAGTTGACCATGTTTATCCAAATAATGCCTAATTTCAGGAAGGGAGGCAGAATAGTGAAATTCCTTCTCTTTATTGATTGTTGCTGTGAAAATATGTAATCAATATTCCACACTAGCAAATGTTACTGATAAAATGTTCTGTCCTGTGTGGATATGCTCTTAATTGGTATTATTTTCATGGACAAGGCAAGGTTTAAAAAAAAAAGGCATTTGGTCTTTCTTTTGTTAGTTTCATAGTATTTATAAATAGTTTCATTGTAAACAATTCTGGATATTTTCCCTAAACTCCTATTAGAATGGACATTTCTGGAAAGATCTCAGTTTCCTTCCTGTCTCCTTGTGGCATGATGGAAGCAACCACATCACTTGAGTGATAATTATCTGAGCTGAATTCTAGCCTTGATTGTGGCAATAAGCAGATGAGTGATCTGGAGCAAGTCAGTTGGGACCTCAACTTCCTTATTAAATTCTGAATTACGAGGGAAGTGGACATCATGACTTGCCATCAACAACTTATAGGATTTCCTGTCCTTGTTTCACTTGCCAAGAACTGAGGCTCTTTATTTGGTTTTACTTCTTCCCTTTCCTCATCTCCACGACCCTGACTGCAGTAGCACCCAACCACTCTCAAAAGAACCAGGATCAATGGTCTGGAGGCTGAGTGATTGTCATTGTCAGTCCAGGACAGGAAGGTTGTGTTGCCATGCTTAGGTGTGGGCATGAGGCGAGGAGCATGCAGCGAAGTGATTTAAGCATGGGCAGAGCCAAAGACTGGAGAGGAAGTTGCAATAAGAATGGCCCCTGCAGGCACTAGCTGAAGGGAAGACAGGGCTGAAAACAGAGGGCACTAGGTGGGCGCAGATGAGCGGGGCTCCTAAGTGCTAAGGTTGTCACTAGGAAGCTTGGGTCCTTACTCCTTCTTTCCCAATCCCTATAAATTTTACAGTGACCTTGAACAGACTCATTAAGGGCCAATTCTGGTTTAAAACATGTGTCTCACTATAAAGTGAGTAAATAATCCCAAGTGAGGAGTAGATCTCTGGGCAAAGGGACATGAGAACATTTTATTCTAAAGCGGGAACAGCTCCCTCTTCATCCTTTATTCACCAGGGAAGGTCCTTGAATAAAGGAAGCTGTGGGTCTTCCCTCTTTCCCAGTGGGAGTTCATGAAGGCCCTCCTGTTACACTGTATTCTGCTCCCTTGAGGATTTCCTTCTGCTCCAGGGCTCCACACTCCAGGGTTCCCCATTCTTTAGGATTGTATCCTGAAACCTACCTGTCAAGCTGGACCTCAGAAATGCTGGGCTAAACGCTTTCAGTCCTTGGGCCTCCTTGGTGGCGCAAGGGGTTAAACACAGCACTGTGAAGCTATCCACAGCTGTTGTGTTACAGGGCAACCCTGATATAAAACAGGTTAACACAAAAGGTTAACAAAGGTTTATTTACAAGAGAAAGGGAAATGAGGAAATATACAACTCAGGGAGAAAAGAGGGAGATAAATTCTTAAATACGTTGTACCCGTTTCGCAGACCTGGAATCCCAAATGACCCTCCGAGACCAAACCTGCCTGGCCTAGAGCTTGAGCCAAGTGCCCCAGACCCCACTAACATGGATGGTTTTATTTACAGAGAAAATGACTGCTTAACTCCGCCCTCAGGTCCTCACAACTTCCCTTTGGGGATCATGGGATTTGTAGTTCCCAGTGTCTTGATATGGAGTGGGGGTGGAGTCCACAAAGCCTGTATGGAGTTTGCTCAAGACATCGTTTCCCCCTGACAGTTGCAGCACGAGTTCAATCCTGAGGCCAGCTAGGGAGATACACACATGGCACATCAGACCTCTCCTGTCCAGCCCAGTGCTCCCCTCAGCAGTGTATTTCAGTAGATCTGCCTGTTATGTTCCCCATTCTGTCTCTGTTGAATCCTCTCACACCACCCCCTCTGTACCTTTGGTGTACACCCCAGCTCTTATATGCATAAATAAACAAATCTTTAAAATAAATTAATAAATGCTTTTAGTGCTTTCCTTCAGCTCAGTTGCAACATTTTGTCTTAAATTGGGGGAGGAGGAAGTAAATAGAAGGCACAATTTATGCTACTTTCTGATTTTGCTTGGGACAGGTTGGGCCCCCACTCTGCTTTATAACACTAGAGCAGCCAACATACAAACAGGGTGGGCAGCATCAGATGGCAGGGAGAACACCACCTACTTTAAGAGAACACTGCCTGCTTCTCTAGTTCTTAAAACTCATCTGTTTCATCCGTGGTGGATAGCTGCGCAGTGGTGACCTGTGTATCACCTCTGCTTTCTTGTCTGGTATTTAATTCATTTTTAAACCTTCTTGCCAAAGAAGGTGTGCTCATATTTCCTGAAGCTTTCATTACTTCTCCACAACTAGGCTAGTTTTTCTTTAAAGAGAAAATTGTTTAAAGTGTATTTCTAACACTTCAGATGAAAGAAATCTGCTTTTCCCTCCCTGCCTATCAATCCAAACCTGCAGGACAAATGCTGCTACAAGACATTAATTTGTTTAGAATTAGGGTGTTGTTGAGGATGTTAATCCCTACATTACTTTATTCTCACTTAGGAAAAACATACAGAAAAATTTCTTAGGTCTAAGTGCAGGAAACTTTTTGTTTCTCCTTTTTGCTATGTTTTGTACAGATGGTAATGTAATTCTTATAACAATCATGTTTATTTTTGGCACATTAGTTGTATCAAACCATACAACATATCTCCCAAGTACTCATTTTTATATTGGTCTCATTGCTACTGCTGTGTGTGTGTGTGCACGTGTGCGCTTTGATTTCTCTTAATTTGGGAGAAAGATTTCTCTCCAATCTATTTTTATTTCAGGATATTTTAAAAACTCTTAAAAGATAATTTTAGGCTTATGGAAATGTTGGAAACAGAACAGAGAGTTCTTGGTCTCCTTCACCCAGATCCCTTTATTTTTAATTCTCCTCTATTGAATATACTTGTGAAGTCACCAAAAATTCTTTGTGGATCAAGACCCACAGGTGTGTCCCTGATTTGGTCACCCAGAAGTGACAGGCCTCAGAACCAGTGGGTTAGAAATGACCAATGCAGACATCTCTGACAGCTCAACCATGGAAGAATGTGTAGCTTCAAATTGAACTGTCCTGTCTAATAATTTGCTCAAAAGTGATTTGCCCACAAGAAAATTAGAACTAAAGAATATAATCTAAATTAAAATGCCCAATTGGACAACCTAGTTAAAATTCTGAATTTTAAAAATATTAGTAATTAATGGTAGTCATGGGGTGATTCCACAACCCTTTATATGTCTTCAAGCATTTGTATTCACATATCATATTTTCTGTCTATTTGTACTTATTATAATTTCTAGCTTGATTTTGATCAATAGAGTATGAGTAAAATATCTAAATCTCTAATAGTTTGTGACCTGCTAATATGTGCAAGTTATAGTGCAGGTTTTGAAGCATTTTTGTGGCTTGATCTTGTTTGTAGGTGGTATGGGGGGGTGCAACTGTGGGTGCAGGCATGTGTAGGAAAAATAATCTGAAAGAAAGTAACTGAAGGTTTCAAAGTTCCAACTGGAAAAATGAATGCATAAGAGTTTATAATGTCCCCTTTTGCATGTCTATATTTTCTAATTTTTTTATATTGAGTAATACTTTTATACCAGGGTATAATTTACCAAAGATTTTAAATAATAAAATTCAGTATGGCGAAAAGTAAATGAAGATTGTATTTTAGTGAATTACTCTATTAATGAATATTTAGGTTGTTTTAACCAATCTCCTCCTGTTGGTTGCTTAGGTTTATTCCACTGTTGTATTTTTTCAAAATTTTAATGTTGAAAGAAGCAAAGAATAAGTAATCAGGAGAAAAACAGGAACCAAGTAGTAAATTTAAGATGCTGGGAGAGCTAGGAGCCCACTCATTCTGTACATACCAAAAGACCAGCCCTGAGCACAGCTGTGATTGTGCTTAGTCATGTACATGCATTATTGTACCAATTTTCCTATGACTAAATTACTCTTCAACTCAATACCTATAGACACTTTGTATTTGGTTGATTATATTTTGCAACATCTTATTTAACTAAATTATTTTTGGTCCAATTATCTACTGCAGTTTGTGAAATTTGAAACATCCTGGCATTTCTGGTCCTGACCTTATGTACTGTGAGCATAGAGGGTGCTTTCATGAGTTCTGGAGTCAGTTTGGTCTACCTTCTGAATTGTACCCACCATCAAGCAAATGGGTAACTCTAATTTTTCAGGGACAAGCAAGAGTTCAATAGTGCATGAGAAATAAATATTATGGCAGGTTTTGAGGCTGGTAGAATTTTGGCCAAATGGAAACTAGAGCAAGAATAAGCCTCTTTCACTTTCATTAGTTTAGGTCACTGGTTAGTCCATAATGAGACTTAGGACTGCTCTGAGGAAAACTTTCTACCTGGTCTAGCCCAACAACGAACTGTGCTATGATCTTACCAGAGTCTGCGGTAATAATACTAGAACTTTGTAATTAAAAAAAAAATTCAGACTTCTAGATGCTGAATTTCTGGAGAAGTCACAATACTAAAATGAATGATGGAAGCTTCTAGTGGAAATTTTACTTGTGTTCACAGCATCTTGCCTTTTGTACATAATCTGCCTGAGGATGCATGAGGCACATGCTTAGGGTCCAGTCTCCTAAATGGTTGGTAACCAAAGATACTTGGAGAAGAAACTTGAGTCTGTGTTTCTCATATACGTTTTTGAGCCACATTATCAATTTCTAAGGACTTACTCATCTTGATACTGTGATGTCAGGGTATTTTTGCCACCAGTGTCCCTAGGCTCAACCTGTCCTAGTATGGTTTTAGAGTATTTTTTTAAAAAAATCAAAATCCCACATAAAAAGTTCATTTGCATAGACCTAGATTTGTGAACTGGAAAGTAGGCCTGGGTTCTAGGGTTCTAGAGTCTGGGGTTCTATTCTAACTGTGCATTTTACTTTTTGAGAGAGCTGGACTAACTCATTCATTGTTTTGCTCCTTTGCTTCCCCAATATTAAGCATCAGGACCCTGTAGATACAAAACTATGTAGAACCTTGATCCTTTATGAATATTTAGGGGAAAAGACAAACAAAAATCACAAATCATATTCCAGGGTGCTAAGTATGCTGGAAGTGTGTGCAGAGCCTTAAGGGAGCCGTGTGAGGGAATATCAAATTACCTTGGGAGGAGGGAGGAGAGTCAGGGCCACATGAAAGAGAGGTCTTGTCTTCTTGGAAGCTTGAACTATATAGAATGAGAGGCATCCATTAGTTGATCTGGAATAGTCCAACAATATATTCTAATAATAATGGAAAAATTCTCACTTGCCCTTTCCAAATAGGGACTTCTCCAGAACTGCAAGAAAGAAGCAAAACAAATCTGCCTAATTTATCCCTGACTGCTTATACCCTAAAAAGTGGTCTACCTCTGAAATCCTCTTTCTTAAATTTTCCAAGAAAAAAATATTGACCTTTAGATTATTCCTGTCACTTAATGCATTTACCTGTAATCATTTGGTCTTCATGAAAAGCCAAGCAACTTGTACCACTCTTTGCTGTCAACAACTGTTCCAGCATTTCTTGCAGTGACTACATTGTCTTACTCTAGATGGAATCATTCAAGTGCTGTAGTATCTACAGCGAAGTAACCACCAAACTTTGTCTCTATGTTGATATGTCACCCCATAGTAAGCTTTTCACTCACTTTCTCTGGTTACCATTTGATTTTGTTTTAAAACACCTCACTTTTCTAAAAGTGATCTGCTCCGAATGTGAACTAATAATCAATACAGTTGCAAATCTACAAAAATTGTTAAAAATCCATAAGCATATGATTCCAGTTTCTAGCATACACTGTTGATTCCCTTCCCAATGCCTACTTTTTCTCTAGATTTTTACCTATAAGAATTCTAATTTGGTCTAGGGTGGATGCCAGCTATCCAAGTGAATCACACGACTCCTATTCCTTTAGCCAGTAGCTGGTTTAGGGAAAAGCAAGAGTGGGGGAGCCCCTGGAAAAGGATTTCTTCTAAAAGAGACTCAGAAGGGGACATCCTTTCTCTGTCCTTGGCACACTACTGGGTTGGGATGTGCCCCTGGCACCAATGAGGCCGTTTTGCCACCAGCAGGGGAGAGGAAAGCCAAGTGTGGAAGAAGGCATAGCTGGAGCACAATTACTGAGGAGTAAAACTGGGCCTGGATTATCTTGCCTGGACTCCGTCCTCCTTGGTATCTCTTTATTCTATGAGACAATATATTTCCTTGTTGTTTAAGCCATGTTGCATTAAGGTTTTCAATTATTTGCATCTCAAAGCATCTGAAGTATAGTCAAGTATGCCCTGAAATTTATGCACTTCGTTTGTAGAATGTTAGGTCAGGCTCTTCATTCTAAGAAAAAGGCTTATCTGATTTCCCAGTTCTAGGAAACAGGCTTATCTGATTTCCCAATTGATGGCAGATTAGAAATGGCAAATTAGAAGTGGAGCAAGCATGGAGGCAGGGAAGGAAGAGACTGGAAGGCAGAAACAGGAACTCGAGGTCTATGGGTGTGCGATTACTAATTAATGTTGGGACAAATAAGTTCTCCCACCTCTGCAGCCCTTGTGGGTATCAGACTCCATCTCGGTGACTAATCCATAATGACGCCCCTGTGTCATCCAGGGAAGTTTGCTTTCTGTTTAGTGTGTTCTGTTTTAGAAGGGGCATGATACTGATGAATATTTAAAAATATTTATTAACAAACAAGGAAAGGTTAAATGATTAAGGCTTATCTGAAAAGACACACAGAGAACATACTCACTCCCTAGCTGTGTTCAATAACTGAATGTTGTATTTAAATGTAAACAGGATCTGCTAGGAGTTTGCTTCACCGGGAGAAGAGGGAGGGGGGACGTAAGGCAATATTTTGATTGCTAGTGGAGCAGTTCATTTCAGTTTTGGTCCCTGAGAGAAGCCTCGCAAAGGAGAAGCAAAGCTGGCGAATAAGGACGTGATGCTTCTCTTGTGCGAGTTACTTTATTTTGGTTCAATGGCTCAGCCAGCCTAGCTAAGCTGTTTCCTCAGAAGCCTGCCAGTAGGAAGTAAATAAGCTGCTTGACTCTCCTCCTAGAGGGGATTGAGCGCTCGTAATTAAAATGTAAATAATTCTCTTGGCCAACAGCTTGTAGACAAAAAAGACTGGAAAGTTCGTAGACACTAAAACTGCTCCACGCAAAACAGGTTCTAAATCTTTGTCTACACAAATTTGGTTTAGTCACCTTGAGGAGAAGTCACTCAAGCCAAGTCTTTCGCAATCATGCACAGGAAATTAGCTGGTTGCTTTCTTCTGGGATGCCAAGGACTAAAATTAAGGGTTGCTTTATCTTGACTTTACTCTTTTCCTGCCATACTCACCTGGCCCCTTCTGCCCCTTTCCTATGGGTCCTCACCAGAAGTGTCTTAGACTTGTGGCAAAATTTTGGGCTTCAGTTGCCCTGTTTTGGGCCAACCCTGTTTGGCTGGGCATTTGCCCATGAGGGGATGGGTAACTTTGGGTACATGATTTGGAAACTGGGTTCTTTCTTTTTCTCTTCTCTCTATTGCACACTGATTATTGCACGCTAATATTAAAGTTCTTTTAATTGAAGATCTTAAAAAAGTCAATAAAAATAAATAAAATTGAGGGTGTCTTGTGGACCAAGGCCCCGGGGCATGGACAAGTCAGAATACAAGTATCAAAGGGAATTTGGACTTTTGTCAGAATCTGTCAGTGGGTGGATCTGTGTCCCCACGTGCTTCCCAGCCCTTGGATTGGGAGAGCTGCTCCCATCTGCAGATCTGTGGGCTCAGGGCAGTTCCCCAGAAGTCAGCCCGTGTCCCACCCAGGCTCAGAGGCACAAGATGTCTATGGGCATTGGGCTTTGTAACTTTGCTTTTGAAATCACCCATCATTTGAAAACTGCCCTGAAACTTAAGTAATATGCAAACAAATGCTAAATAAAGTGGGGGAATATCTAATACCTTTTTAATTTAATTCCCATCGAATATGCATGTAACTACTCAATTTTTAAAATGAATAATAAATGATCGATTGACTGTGTTACTATATGAAGGAACTATCTAAAGAATTAAAGAATTTTTTTGAGAATGAAACTTATTTAGATCAGTGGCTTTCAAAGGCATTTCCCCTTCCATATGGACATTGTTACTGCTAAGGTATTATCTTTATTATCATTAACCTCTATTTTGGCATTGTGCTGGACACTCTACATTTATTATTTCATTTTATTATCAGAATAATGTGTGTATAATTATTAAACTCATTTTGCAGATGTAAACAATCAGGCTTAGAGATACAATTCAGTGGGGGGCATGCACTTAGGAAGTGGCTGGCTTGCCAGTCAAACACAGGTTCCTTCCCATACCAATGCTTTAGCCATTACATGGTTATGAGCAATAGGAACATTGAAATTTTCCAATATTTTCTAGAATTTTCCAAGATAATTTTTTTTTAGAGGTTACTTACCCATCTCTCATTGGCATTCTAATATATTGTTTTGAGGGAGAGAAGGGAATCATTGCTAATATGCAGGAAATGTAAAGAAATGATGTATGCTAATGAAGTGCCTCATGTTTGTCTTAGCAGAGAAAAGACTGAGACCTGATCTTAGAGTTATTCAGGCAAACTGTGTTTATTGAAACTTACTTAGTCGAACTCTACAGTGCTCTCCAATTTAAGGTTCTAACTTTTAATTTTATTTTTAAGATTTATTTATGTATGCATACAAGAACTAGGTTATAGGATAGAGGTGCGGAATGGGGTGAGAGGATTCACCAGAGACAGAGTGGGGAGCAGAACAGGTGGATTGACTGAAATACACTGCTCAGGGGAGCAGCGGCGAGGCAGGAGAGGTCTACTGTGCCATGTGGGTTAGCTCCCTGGTCAGTGATTGAACTCGTTCTGCAGTGTCTGCAGATAGCTTCATTGTGCTGAGACTTAACCCCTTGCGCCACCAGGGAGGCCCTCTAACTTTTATAATAGTGTCTTGATTTTCCTAATAGGCTTACTTAAGTTTCACTAAAAAACACAGATTTAGGGGTCTCCCTCGTGGTGGAAGGGGTTAAGCACCACAATATGAAGCAATCTGCAGCATGAATTCGATCCCTGGCCGGCCTGGGAGCAACCCACATGGCGAGGCAGACCTCTCCTGTCTCACCTGCTGCTCCCCTCAGCAGTGTATTTCAGTCAGTCTGCCTGTTCTGTTCCCCACTCTGTCTCTGGTGAGTCCTCTCACCCCCCACATCTCTGGACTGTACCTCAGATCTTGTATGCATAAATAAATATATATCTTTAAAAAATAAATAAAAAATAAAAAAATAAAAAAACCCACAGATTTAAAGTCTTTACACACTATTTATTCCTATTTTGGATTCATTCATCATTTTGGTACCTTTTATTACTGTATAATGTCTGAATGATATCAATTCTGCAGCAGAAAGTTATGGCACCTGCAGCTTGTTTTCCTGGGGTTTCATTTTGGTGATCTCCAGGTGGATCCTATCTGTACTGCCTTTGGAATGCATAAGCCAGTTGATATATTCATATTTTATAGCACTGTTTCTTACTATTTGTATGCATTATGGAATATATATAATTATATTAATATAGTTAGATAATAGATATAATTCAAATACATATGTGATGCTTTTGTGACATATTTTTTTTGTAAAGATTTATTTTTATTCACTTATGGATACAAGAACTGGGATGCAGGCCAGAGGCACAGAGAGTCAGAGGATCCTCCAGAGACAGAATGGGGAGCAGACAGCTGAGGGGAGTAGCGGGTGAGACAGGAGAGGTCTAGCTCCCTTGCCCCATGTAGGTTATGAATCTTTACATAGCCCTGGCAGAGGATGGACCTCACGCTGCAGCAGCTGGGAACAGCTTGATAGTGCTGAGACTTCAACCCCTGCGACACCAGGGAGGCCCTGTGACATATTTTCTATATCATTGTTCCAATAATACATGCTCACTGGAAAAAAGTATTAGTAGCAAGAAATATATAAAGTCAAACTGAAAAACTTCAAAAAATTTTACTGTGAAAGATAAGTATTTTTAAAGTTTCGTGTTTTACTCTCCGTATTTTGGGGGTGTCTTTTGTGAGATTTCCCAGTTCTCTTTCTTTCCCCCACTGTGATGGGGCCTTCTCTTTCCTTCATTTTTGATTGACCTTATACTACTCAGTTTCATCCGCTTCC